TATATATACGTATATATATATATATATATATATATATATATATATATATATATATATATATATATATATATATATATATATATATATATATATATATATATATATATATATATATATATATACGTCTTTCCACGTCTTTATTTAGGCTGATTATAAAAAGACATAAAAAGTCATAAAAAAGACGCCTTTTTTCGTCTAAAGATGTCTTTTTTTCCACTGGGTTTTAAATACAACTATTTCTTGCTTTTACTCCATTTTCTTCATTAAATTCACTTACTTTTGGCCTGTGGAAGCGGGTAATGGTGCTCTTTAGTGAGCTAAACGTGTCTTCTGCAGATCTTGGTTCCCCCACATAGAAGTTAGCCGGAATACAGTGTATTGCAATACCATCACTATGAATTACGCGACATTTTGCGGATTAAGAATGGATTAAAAAAAAAAATAGAAATTGCATGAGTTGTCCTTTGATTTTTGCCAAATTAGCGGGATAGCAATTCTATTTTTTTCACTTCTATATTAACCATTATCATGGTACATATAGCCAAATATATTAATTGAAAGGCCCAAATTTTCACAGATCACTTAATACAGACAGTGGCGGATTAGGGCATTTCGGGTTTTAAGTAGCGAGACTTTGGAAGCCTTATTTGAACACATGACAAAAAAAAATGCAGGGTTATATGTTTTAGGTTGTTAATTTATTTTTTTGATTAAGCTAAATGTTCAAATTAGTTGTTTTTTGTTATGAAAAGAAGAAAAGATATTTAACTAATTTATGCTTTACTTTACTTGATGATATTAAGTAAAGCGACTACTATATATACCATATATCAAGGAGGTATAACAGACTGAAGAGAAAACGAACTTCAAATACGTCATTTCTCAAGAAACAGTCTTAGTAGTAACATTAAACATCCCAGTGGGAAAAAAGACGTCGAAAAGACGTCTTTAAAAGTCTTATTCACCATGTCTTTAAGACGTCTTTTTTTAATCGAATGCAAATCTAAAAGACATCTTTTTTCGACATCGAAAAGACGTCTTTTTTTATCTTAATCTTGTCATGAAAAGACATAAAAAATGCGCCTTTAAGGCGAATTGGTATAAGTGCGATCTGGCATAAGTGCGAAGCAGTTACAAAAAGTCTCTAAAGTACTCTAATGATTTAAAAAGAAACTAAAGAAACTAAAAAAAAAAAATTTAATTTCTTTAGTTTCTTTTTAAATTAAACTCATTTAAATTAATAACTTGTTTTTTTTTAAACAAAACTTAATGTTAAATCGAGAAAGAAAAAACTCTGTAAGAAATGTGTATGAGTATTAAACTTTTCTTGATACATTTCAAAATCCAAAATATTTCTGGAGTGATCTTGGCTCCATTTGGAGAGATCCTGGCTTCATTTGGAGAAGTCCTGGCTCCATTTGGAGAGATCTTGGCCCCGTAGAAACTTATACCTTTTAAAATCCTTCGATTCTTATTTTAAATTATTTGATTTTATTTGATAAACAAGGTTTGTTGTTAAATCCATAAGTTTAATTTAAAATGCATGCAACTCAAAAGTAAATTTTAAATACGCCGCATGGATTGTGGTCATACATTAATAAAAAATCATATCAACAAAATAATCAAACAACCAGAAAATCAGTCAACACCATAAAAATCTTTTACTGACATGCAAAAGATTAAGGCCTTCATTCAATTTATTTAAGTTATTTTAGTTTAAGAGAAAACAAGGGTCGCTTTCTGAAATATTTCTATTTTATTTTTAATCATATTTGTAATATGTGAACTTAACGAAACCAATATTAAAATGAACAGACTTTTTTTTATTTTTAGTCATATTTGCAATATGTGAACTTAACGAAACCAATATTAAAATGAACTTTTTTTATTCCTAGATTTTAATAATTTAAAACGTATATATGCAATTATGTATAACTTTTTAGAGAGATCTTTTTCAAAAAGAATTTTTATTTGATCTTGAATTATTAAAATTAATTTATTAGTAATCTAATTGTCTGAAACAATTTTTTCTAAAATAGCAGTAGAGTAAAACTGGGTCAAACCGCACACTAACCGAAATATCAATATAATTATCAAATAAAGACTAAATGCATATGGCTATAAAAAAAATATAGATTTAAATACAAAACTATCTCCTCTATTCGAATTGATAAAATTATATGCCAATTCAACTCCATTTTTTTGTTTTTTTATACAACTTTAAAGGGGATTCAAAATTTTTATATATTTTTTATCGTTGCGAACAAAATAGCGCTTAATCCAAAACTAATATAAAAAATGTTTTAGCACTATAATTTTTTTGTAAATATCGGTCCTAAACTGGCATACAAAGTAAACAACTCGAACAATACATTTAATAACTGTTATACTGACCATTCTAGTTCATTCTCTGAGAGTGACCTAAAATCTGAGGAATTTGAAGAAGCAACAAAATCAATTAGAAAAAACAAAGCTCCGGGCATCGACGACATTTCTAGCAATGTAGTATATGATATTTTATACATTTTAAAAAATCCCATTTTAAAGGTTTTCAAGTCATCAATTAGACTGAAGTTGTTCTAAACAAATTAAAAATTGCGAAGATTTTTCTAAATTAAAAACTGGAGACACGGCCTTGCTAACCAATTATAGACCTTTCTCAATTCTTCTAGTGTTTTCCAGACTCCTGGAAAGAATAATGTACAACCGACTTTATAAATATTTAACAGCCAATAAAATTCTAAGTGAATGTCAATACGGCTTTCAAACAAATCATTCTACGGAGCATGCAACCTTAGACCTAATGGATAACATTAGATCATCTTTTGATGAAGGAAAATTTGTATTGGGAGTTTTTATTGATCTTACAAAAGCTTTCGATACTGTCAACCATAAAATTCTGCTCGACAAAATGAGAAAGTACGGTATAAAAAGCCAAACTATTAAATGGTTCACTAATTATTTAAATAACAGACAACAATGTGTTATAATAAACGATATCACTAATTCAAAGTTTTTAAAAATAAAATGTAGTGTCCCACAGGGATCTATTTTCGCACCTTTATTATTTCTTATTTACATTAACGATCTTCCTAAAGTCTCTACAAATCTCGATTGTATAATGTTTGCAAATGATACCAATCTGTTTTACTCATCTACTTCTATTAATGATCTTTTTGATAAAGTCAACATTGAGCTTTAAAAACTTAAAACATAATTCAGTGCTAACATGTTATCATTAAAGTCACAAAAAACTAAATATATTTTATTTCACTCAAAGAAACAGAATAATAATCAATTCTACCCTCATTAAGTATCGAACACAAAAAAATTGAAAGAACCAAAGCAATTAAATTTCTTGGTGTGATTATTGATGAAAATGTTTCATGGACAGCCCCTATAAATGCCAGCAACACTAAAATATCGAAAACTATTGGCATACTTTTAAGCTAGACCATTTTTATCACAAAAAATTCTAAAATTTCTTTAATTCATACATATATACTTTATACTTCCTTTATACATAGTTATCTCACATATGCCAAAATTGCTTGGGGAAGCACACACAAGACAAAGCTAATGTCCCTTTATCGATGACAAAAACATGCCTCTAGAATAATACATCGTAAGAACAAACTGACCCACGCTAAACCCCTAAGAAATGAAAAAGAAATGAAAGCCCTAAACTTTTACCAAATTAATACCTATGCTATTATATTATTCATGCTAAAATACAAATTTCTAGCGTTGCTTAAGCCGCTGTACAAGAGTGGTAAATGTTTTATACGATTGCATGCAATTGCTGGTTTCCAGTACACTGGCTTATTTCTACCTAATAAAAACAACAAAAATGATAAGGCGTTAGCAATCACACAAACGTTTAATCCACCTTCATCAACTGTAACAACCTCTGCAGCACCTACACCACCATGCGCAGACACAGCATTATCATCTTCAACAACCACCGCAGCACCTACTCACTACACACCTATTACATCTTTCTCAACTACACCATCTTCAAGTTTTGATAGGTATTAAGCATGTGTTGAGCGTTGCAAAAGCAGTATAAAAGATAGAATTGAAGCACTGTTTTTAAGCCAGAAATCAATCGCATGTTAAGAAATTGAAGCATTGCAACTTATCTAAACTTGGCGGAAAATGTATTACCAAAGAAAGTGTGATTGAGTTCCTCAAACAAAAAAATGAAGAAAAAGCAACAAAGGAAGCCGTGAAAGTTGCTCAGCTTAACGCAATGCGTATACTCTCTATGCCAAGTACTAAAATGCCTGAGCATAAAAATGCTTAGCAACCTCAGCAAAACAATAATGAATAACAAGTACAAGTAGTCGAACGATTAAAAGTTGCAAAATGTAAAAATTTTAAAATACTGTATTTTATAATTTTACACAGTTTTACAGTTATACACAAAAATTTTTACACAATATACACAGTTATACAGTTATACACAGAAATATTGCAATGCAAGAATTCGATATGTCGGGAAAGGTTGCGCAAATAAACACGTTTACCAAAGAAATATCTAAATGGAACTAAATTTTTTTGTTGCAAAAAATGTAAAAACTTTAATATAGTTTCTTAAATATAAGTTGTGTTAAAAAATATGATAAAAAAAAAGTTTAAGTTTAAAATTTAATGTTTTCTCAAGTGTGCGGTTTACCAGAATGTCGCCTAAAACCGCACAATTTTTTTTCTTTACATTTAATGTTTTCGATAGTTTTATTATTTTTTTAACATATATTTATATAATCTTAAGTAGTTTTTTATTACCAATCTAAAAAAGAAATGAAAAATAAAAAATTTATTTAATTTTTATTGATAAGTGTGCGGTTTGACCCGGTTTTACTCAAGCATTATATGTTTAATAAATTAAATTTATATTTGTTCAAGAAAAATTATTTACTTGTTGATCTTAAACGATTTAGCACTTGTGAGCATTTTTTTAATTTCTTTTTATCTGACAAATTCAAATTCTTTTTTAGTTTAGAGGTGAATTGCCCTTTTCAGAAACAAAGTCATCCGAAAACCAGTTTAGCCGGAAAAACAACAATGAAATTACTAAAGGTTTTTCTTCTAATCAAGTTTATTTTGATTCGACATGTCAATCAAATATGCAACAATCAGAAAATACAATTCAACGAAACATATGCCCGTCTCCTGTCTATAATAATGAATATACAGCTGTTTTAAATGAAGATTTAAGTTACTTCACACCTGAATTTAATTGTAATATTAGTGTCAGAGACCCTGAAGTTCAAGTTCAGCCAGTATCATTACAACTTTCCAACAGATATGTTAAATCAATGAATCTAGCTCCAGAAGAACTTGTAAATCGCCGATATTCAATAATGCAAAACAGAGACTTATCTAATAGAAGGGTGAGTAATGGAAGTGACGGGTCTTTAGAATCAAATTATTCTTCAGGTTATGAAAGTTATTCGAATAGCAGAAGAGAAAGTGATATGAGTCTGCAATCAATTAGTGAAAGAAGGGGGTCTAATCATTTTCTCGATACAATTCCCCAATCCTATCAGAAAAGTATACCAAATCCTCAACCTTGCCTAAAAGATGTTGTAAACCCTAGATCGTGCCAAAAAAATATTGGAAAATATTTAATAGGGGATAAAGCTTCCAAAGAAAACAACTGTTATGAATCGGATCTATGTAATCAGTATACTGATCAAAGTAATAAAGTTTCGGTTTGTAATGGATTGCGAAGTAATTATTTTCCGTCTTCAAAGTCATCAGAAAAACTTTCTCCACTTGATCATCAAAAGTCCATTGAAAGTTGCATAAATAAATCAAGTAATAAAAAATTTAATCAAAGATCCACTAAATTTCGACGCTGCAGTGAACCAATAGAGGTAACATCTCTTATTGAAAGCACACCTAGAAGACATTCTATGACCTTTTATAATAAACTTCCTCTTGCACCTAAAATGAATCTCCCTAATGTTGAGACCAAAAGCAAAAGTTCGTCCACTTTTCAGAAAGATGAAACGGAAGAACTGCTTTTGAGGCTTATTCAAAATAGTGATAGCTTGCTAAAGAAATCTGATATTGAAAATTTATTAGTCACTCATCAAAAACATTTGTTTCCTCAAAACGAAATTAGTTTTGCCAAAAAGCAAGACGAAACAGATTCACGAATGGTCGACGGAGACTATTATCATACATCCAGTGAAATAGATCCGTTAAGTTTTTTTATCGAAAACTATGATATGAAAGAAGCTGATGATATGTTGCATAACGAAAACGATATTTTTTTACAAACTTCTGAATCTTTGAAAAAAGATTTTCAAAATAATAATTCATTGTTACACACTAAAATAGATCTCACTGATCCCTGCAGCAGCAAACGTTTGAGCAATTTTCGTTTGGAAAACTTCAATGTAAATACTACCTCGCAGATAAAAAATCAGCTACAAAAAAATAACGTAGCGAGCAATGAGAATTTGTCAAGTAAACCTGATAAATCTTTTGATTTGATTTTCAAATGGCAAGATTTTTCGAGGCCGCAACAAAAACTAGATTCAAAATTAAGCAATGATGAAGATTTTTTAACAACAAAAATTGACGCTTTGTCCACGGAAACATTTGTTCCATTGACTTCAAACAACATGGTACTAAATACAATGAACACTTTGCTTGATTCGTTCGTAGAAGAAAATATGTTTTACGAAAATCAAACATTTTGCAGTTTTCCAGTAATATATGAATAAACTTTCTAATTTTATTAGGATTAAATTGTAGTTGTATTATATTATTAATATAAGTGAAAAAACACAACAACAGATATTTGTTACTATAATTTAAATATATAATTATTAGCTCGAAAACCCCGGCTACAAATATACACACGTTCAAATTACATTGTACACCGCGGCAGTAACAGATGTTAGTTATGATAATTAAGAAGCAAGAAATATAACTGTTATTGTTAAACATAAGTAAACTTTCCTAACTTTTTGTAACAATGTTACACATTTTTGTAGTCTTTTTTTCACCTAACTATTATTCGTTATAAAATGTATCTATTTAAAATCTACTATTTTAATATTTTTGTTGTAGCCTGTTTATCAAGTAGGTATAACCAAGCGGAAACGCTGACTATACAGAAAACCGTATCTAAAGGTAAAAAAGACTGTCTATGTGCTAATCACTGTACAGTATTTTTCTACTTGTCAAACACTTAACTCAAGTACCTGTCAAGTATATAATACTTAGCTAAGATACCGCGTACTAACGGCGGCAAATAAAGCGTTTTTAAAGAAAGTATTTGTTGTTTTAAATTGATTTATTTTTATAACTTTTAAAAGTTATTAAAATCAGTTTTAAAATATAAATTAAGATGCTAGCTAAATTAATTTGAAGAGTCTTTTTGTTAATAGTAACCGCAATGTTGGTATAAACGTTTTTAAATAAAAGATTTTTTTATTTATTTATTTATTATAATTACCAACCTAAATTTTAATACCATAGTTATTAGCAGAGGTGGTTCTACAAATAAAATGAGGGGGGGGGGAGTGAATCCTTGAAAAGTACCAACTAGCTTAACAAAAAAAAAAAAAAAAAGAGCCTTAAAATGAAAAATTAACCGACTGAATTGTGTCAAATAGCCGACTGCTGACTAAATTCGTAAAAAAAAACGACTATAACTTGAAAATCACCTTCTTTGGGGGGTGTAACACCCCAACACCCCTTGAAATCACCTCTGGTTATTAGTGTAGGGAAAAGTGGTGAATTATTATACATCGGGCACCATGAAAAACCTTAATAGCAGAAGCACCTTTAGTGTTATGAAAACGACTTCCATATAAAGAAACAGCTAATCAAGCTATTGACTGGAAATTCATTAGATTAGAATAGGCTTTCAAAGGATAGAAACTTGCGTTTTTTAAGGACAAATTAATTTTTATTTTTCAAATCTTCTCGGTTTTAAGATATGTTATTTCATATTTTGGTTGATAGGTATCATTGTTTTGAAAATTAAATTCTTAAGTTTTTTAGTCCTTGAAACAAATTAGTTTTAAAAAATTTTGACTTTAAAATGACGCAGTTATTTTCTATCAGAAAATATAGGATACAACATTGATGAATAATTTGTGTCCTTGAAACTGTATAGTCCTCAATTTTGTTGTAAGTAATATTAAAAATAATTTTTTTCTTTTTTATTAATTGTAAATATTTTGAAATTTATCTACATATATTTCAAAAGATACAGCTTTGATATAAATATTGACGCTCAAGATGAGCGTCACCTGGTTGATTCATAATAAAATATATTCAAGTGTTAAAAGCAAAAAGTATTAATAATAAGCCTTTAGTTAGTTAATGTAAAGTAAAATAATAGATCACACATTATTCAATATTTACAATAGTAGTCAATAAAGTCAATAAGATACTGTTAATATTACAATAAAATAAAGTTATTAAAAATAATAATAATAGCAAATAAAAAATATTTTAATGCAAATGTTATTCGGCAGCTACAGCTGATTCCATGAAAATAGAAAAACCTCAGGAGGATAATAGTACACTGCAAGTGTTGTATCTTACGCAAATACTAATGCATATACTTGAACCTCAGTGGCCCAAATTTGATCATTGTCCATTTTTAATTTGCTAATAGATATCAAAGCAGATCTCGAAGTGTAGGTTTTAAAAACATTTCTATATTCATCTTTCAAAAGAATATCAATTTCTATTATATATTACAAACTACACATTGTATGTTTTTAGTTTGTCTTAGGTTTTCGTGTGTATTTAGCTAGTTTTAAAATACATTTTAAAAAATTAACGTCAACTTTAACTCATTTTATTCGTTTGTTATCAATTACCAAATATCGACAACCAACAGAAATAAGCTGTGATTGTTCCCTAAGCAGTGTAAGGGTGAGATTGGATACCTAACAACATTATTTCAAAGAGAGTAACACCTGCTAACTTTTGGCAAGTAGTTTAAAATGTGAACAATAATCTAATGAACGAGGCCCTCTTTCTTGGAATTTAACCATAGAACCCTGTACAGTTCGATTAATCTTTTTAACAAAATCATTTGCATGAAGACGGTAAGCTGAAGCTAATATTATCAAGTCCCAATATGATTTAACAGATATTCAGAAATTTTATTGCAAAATTCTTGACATTGATTATTAATTTTAATCATTGTACAACCATGGTGACATAAAAGTTCATATAAAAATTTGGATACCTTCTAAGCGTTTTTTAAATCACTTATGGTTCAATCCATTTTGAATAATATTCAACAAAAATGGCAAACCAATGATGTGGATTTTTAGGCAAACTACACAAAACAACACCAACTTGATAACTTTTTTTGGAACTGGCATTGGGGGCAATTCGTTTTAAATTTACCAAGCCATTAAATAACTTATTTGGTGTAAATTTAGTCAATTTTGATTTAAAAAAATAGGTTTTTGAAAGGCTGAAATAAAGAAATTTTGTAAATTTTATCTAAACAACATTTTTCTCTTTTTCAAGTTTTTTGTAAAACTGACGCATTAAAATCAATGCATCAAGGGTATCATCTCCCAATCTATATCTTACATTCATAGCAAAAAATCCCACCGCTAAAAAGCTTGTTTCCAGGCTCCACTGATGTTGGTCTAGTAGTTAAAAAATTTTTAAAAAGTTTTTCAAGGTAGGCCTTGCACAAGTAGCTTTAAATTAACTTATCTCTTTTTTAAAAATTTTAGATCCAACCTTATCTATGGCGATAGCTCCATGCTCTGTTTGTTGAATAAATGAAGCAAACTCGTCTAAAAGAGATTTTTTTCATCAATTTTTAATGTTTGATAAGGTGTACTGGTAACTTTAAAATCAGCTCGTTCTCCTTTACCTGCCTTCTGTGGATAAAGTCTGTTTAAAGTGATTTTCTTTGAGAACTGACGCCTTTAAAGTCAGACATTTTTAAAAATCTATTTTTTAAATTTGTCTGACTTTAAATTCCTATGTTAAATTTAGTAAAGAATAATGACAAATAATATTTATATGTTAAATAATAACTATGTATATTTAAAACAATAGTTACTAGTGTGGCTCTTAAAACAATTTTTTTGAGAAAAACCTGCTCTGACCCCTTTAATTTGTTCTATATAATACTAAAACACTAGGCTTAAAATTTTTTTGAACAAAAAATATTTTTAGAGGTAGCTCAAGACCCTAAATAATTCTTATATTATTTTGATTATTTTGAGTACCAGGTTGACATAATTTAGAAAAACTTTTTTTTTCAATATATTAGGAACCCGTCAAATTTTGACGTCAAATTTTCCTGAGCTACCCCTTAAAATATTTTTTGTTCAAAAAAGTTTTAAACCTAGTGTTTTAGTATTATATAGAACAAATTAAAAGGGTCAGAGCAGGTTTTTCTCAAAAAAGTTGTTTTAAGAGCCACCCTAGCAGTTACACTTTTTTTTTTACATGAAACCAAGAAAATTAAGTATTACAAGTTATTTTTTATGAACTTTTAGTGATGTTTCAATTCAATCAATTTTAAACAAAAAAAATTTACTTAAGAAAATTTCGATCAGAATTTCATTTGATCGAATATTCAAATTACATACTCATTTCAACTGTTATTCTTTATTGTAGATATTGCTTGGTTTTAACTTCGACTTATGTTAATATATAATGTAGCTAATGTATGTTATGATAAGTAAGTGAAAACTTACAATTTGAACTCTGAATAAAATAAGTTTCTTATATTACAAAACTTTTTTATACAGTTGAATGTCTTCACAAAGTTGATCACAGCCAAGAATGTTCATTTATAGAAATAACTTTTGAAAAACTTATAAAATTTAAAATTACCCGGGTAATTTTTCAAAATTACCCGGGTAACGGTTACCCGACGGGCATTTGTTTTTAAAAGTTACGTTCTAAATGTGTTTTAAACGTCTTTTAAACGTCTTTTAAACATTAATGTTTAAAAGACGTTTAAAAGACATTTAAAATACATTTAGATCGTAACTTTTAAAAACAAATGCCCGTCGGGTAAGGTAATACCCGGGTAAGAAACACTGGTACGTAGTTTTTTTTTTAATAAAACATTCTACCTTTTTACAAACATATTTCAAGTTAACATTTTTTTAAAATTGTTTGCCTTCAGCATGACAGGGAACTTTTTTATTTTTTATGGAAGATTAGACTCTGGTGTAATAAAATTCACGGTCTCTTTAAATTTGTACTTTTTATATAATATTCGTACAGTAAGGCTATGATTTCTAAACAACGGACATCTATTGATTTTTTTTTTCCTGGTAAAACTTGGAACATGCTGTTATAAACAAATATATATATTAAAAAAATAATACTCTTGTGACAGAAGTTTACATAATGCGAAATAAAATAACTAGCTAAAATTCTTCCAATTTTTTAAGTACGCGATGGTCGAGCGACATTTATAGTAAAATCTTTTGTCTTTGTCATTGCACCAATTGTATGATGAAATAAGCAGCAACTTATATATTGTCTAACAGTACTACTATTGCATATTTTTAATATACTCAGAAAACTCTTCTAGGTTAATCCTTGCACGGCCCATTATTGGTGCCACGACCGGCCCACCATAGGAAAACAAACATGGGCCGAGCCAAGTGTTGTTTGTCGCTTAATTTATGGCAGCCGTTTTCTGACCGGCGTTAATTCGTTGCATTGCCGTTGTTTATTTTTAAGAAACTTATGATTTATTTTGTTTGTTTTTCATATTAATTGATATTTTTATTAAAAAATGTGAATTCAAAATAAGTTCCAAAATTTAAAAT